ATAGTGGCTTAGTGCCTAAGGCATTTGATTGCTAACCAGAAGGCTGGTGGTTCAAACCTACCAGCCACTCCTTAGAAGGAAGATTGGGCAATCTACTTTTGTAGAGATACCACCTTGGAAACCCAAGGAGAGGTTGCTGTGAATCTCACATGTGTGTATATATAAATCTATATGTACATACACATGTGTACAATGTATATATGTACATGCACATGTGTATGTATATACATGTACATATACACACATGTTTAAGTTTTTATAAGTTTTGTTTGTTTAAACTTCAGGGCTTCTCAGGGGCTTTTATTTATTTATTTATTTTAAGGTTTTTATGCTTGATAGCCTTCTACTGATCATTGTATAATTTTCCTCTGTAATAAAAGCGTATATATAAATCAAAAATTATTTTTAAATTTGACATAAGGCTTTCTGTGTTATTTTATTTTTTTCCTTCTGATTTAGTTGTCATTTATTAGACATCTATTAGAAATACACTATTGACAAAAATAACATAATCACGTTATTAAATTTGTTCATTTTAAAACATATAAGGTAAAAGTCTGCTATAAAAGCATCTCATAATGATATCAATGTGGTTGGGTTTTTTTTTTTTTTCAGTTTTTGTTAAGAGTATGCATAGCAAAACATACAGCGATTCAAGCATTTCTTCACATACAATTAAATTACATTGATTACATACATTCTTCGAGTTGTGCCATCATTCTCATCCTTCTTTTCTGAGTTGTTCCTCATTAACATAAACTCACTCCCCCTAAGCTTCCTATCTAATCTTTCGAGTTGCTCTTGACACTTTGATCACATATACCAAAACCAAAACTCACTGCCATTGAGTTGATTTCAACTCAGATGACCCCCGTTGGGTTTTCAAGCCTCTAAATCTTTACAGAAGTAGATTGTCCCATCTTCCTTCCATGGAGTGGCTGGTGGGTTTGAACTTCCAACCTTCTGGTTACAGACAATTGCCTTAGGTACTACATTACCAGAGCTCCTTAGTTTTTAAAAGAGCACAGTGCTCAAGGCAGACATTGTTACTAGTTAAGCTAAACTCTTGTTTGGTTTTAAGAAGATGTTAGGGGATATTTTTGGTTTATGTTTTAAAGATTATCTCAGGGGAATAGTTTCAGGGATTTATTCCACCCCCATGGCTCCAGAAAGGCTGGAGTCCATTTCTCAGGGGCATCTAAATGTTGATGTCCACTATGATTCTTCAGGGGGAGGGCATAGCATACAGGGCTTTCCACGCTGCTTTGACCAGACAGCTCTATGAAGTAATGCATAGCCTGTGGAACTTAGCTTCCAAAAAACATGCTTTGAAAAATGCTAGGTTACATGAATTCCCCATGGGACTTCTCTATCTGATGTGTCCAAGCTCTGGTGACACATGCTAAGGAATTGAGAGACGAATCAGACTCAAGCTCTGTCATGAGGCTTCCTATTGCCAGGAAGATAAGACTTGTACTTGGGTAGTCAGATTCTGGGTAAGAAATCAGTGTCCTAAGAGAGATTCAGGCAGGAAGCTGTGGGTCCAGAAAGGAAAGAGAAAAAGCATGTTTTCCTGCAGGGACCTGAGATGGCTTTCTAGAGGAGGCCTGAGAACTGAGCCCTGAAGATTGAAGGGGATTGTGAGGGGGATGGGTGTTTCAGTCAAGTCAGTGACATCAGCAAAGGTAGAAAAGAAAACACTAGGGATGAACAAGACCCAACAGGAGGTTCGGTCGGTCTGGAGAAAATGAGTGTGAGGGAAAGCATGGAGGTGAAATGGGGAAGACAGCTGGAGGCCAATAGGGAGGCCCTCAAGCATAAGGCTGAGCCTGGGCTTGGTTCTGAATACAGAGGGGAAACCACTGAAGGTTTTCGAGCTGGGGGCCTGGATGAGCCAGATATGTACTTTTGGAAGAGCGAGTAATCTGAGAGCTATTCATAAGCTAGGTTGGAAGTGAGGGCAAGGCAGGGGAAAGGAAGTCCTGGCTCGGACAGCTCCATCACCCAGCTCTGGGCAGCCAGAGTCAACTCTGCAGCAGATAAGTAGGGAGGGCACAGACAGCAGTGAGGACAAAAAAGAATAAACTGATGGAGAGGTGTTTATGATAGAATTGGATTGTCTGTATATAGGGGGAAAGAAAAGAAAGGAGGTATGGTAGTTCAGTTTGTGTGTCAACTTGGCTGGGCCTGGTTGAGTGGCTGGGCAGCTGGATGTAGTATTTCCTGTGATGAGACTGGTAATCAACTCCATGGTGGAATCTACTGTGAGCAGCTGAGCAGCTGCTGTGGGGATGTGGTCTGCTTCCTGTATAGAAGGAGAAGCCTTGGGGAATGGTCTCTAGTTGATGGCATGCTTGAACCCTGCATGTAGCCATATCGTTGTTCAGCTGCCTGCCATGCTCTACCAACCTTGGGATTCTCAATGGACTTGAATTCATGGCCTGCCGTGTGGCTTGGTAACATCAGGACTGTGCTTTTTTACTTGTCAACTTTGGGCTTGTGAGTCTCAGCAGCCAGTAGCTGTTTGAGTGAAGAAAAGCCTCTAGCTCCAGTGGGCCAGAAGCAGGAGACAGACCTGAAGCCCAAGGCTGAGGAGCTTTCACTCAGGCCCTAGAGCCTGGCACTTTGAACTTGGACTTAAAGCCTCCAAACTGTAAGAGAATAAACTCCTGTTTATTCAAGCCATCCCATTTGTGGTATATCCTTGTCGGAGTGGCACTAAGTAACGTAACTGACACAGGAGGGAAGGAGAGAAAGAGAGAGAAAAGTCAATTCAGCAAGTGTTTGCTGAGCACCTACCATATGCCAAGACATCGTGTCAGGCCCAGGGGACACAGTAGTGGGATAGAGTGACAGTCGCTGCCCTCCTTGCAGGCTACTGAGGGGGACAGACCTTAATCAAATACCCATACACAATTACACACCATGACAGGTGTAATAAGGAAAAGCTTAAGATATGAATCAAGCATGTAGAAGGGGGTGACCTGGTCTGAGAGAATTGAGGAAGGCTTCTCACAGGAAGTATCATTGAGCAGAAGTCTGAAGGATGAACAAGAGTTAACAGATAGATAGACAGATGGTAACAGGCAGATAGATGGATGAAGAGCATCCCAGGCTGGACGTACTACAAGACAAGAGCAGTGTGCAAAAGACCAGTGTGGCTAGAAGTGCAAACACAGACAATCCAAGAGAATTCCTAGTTTCTGGGCATGAGAAGAAGCCAAAGAAACAGCTGGAGCAATAGAAGAATAATTCAGGACTTTCCAACTCACCATCCTTCCCTCTCCAGCCAACCCCAGTCCAAGCACCCCTTAAGCCTATATCCACCTCCTGACCTTGCATGAAGTCCCAAATGTTGCACCTTTCGCCAGAGAGGCGGACCACAGGGCAGTTTGGAGCCAGACCCCCTTGCTCAGTCTTCTCTTCCAGTCGCTGCCAATACACCTTCAGGATGAACCAGAAGTATGGAACGCTGAAGAGAGTTGAGCCCCAAATGTCATAGGCAAAGTGGGGGTTTTGGGCCAGGATATTCTGCTTCATTCTCTCGGGGAACAGTGTCTGTAGCACTTTGCCCATGGCCACATGCAGGGCCACCTTCAAGAGTACCCACAGCCTCTTCAGCCATAGCCCTGGCCGGGGCAGCCCCATCTCCACACAGCCAGAGCCAGCTCTGTGGCAGGATGTCAGAGAGGCCACAGCCAAGAGGCACTGGGCGGAGCTGAGCAAAGGTGCAGGGTCAGGGAGCATGTAGGACAGGTATGTGTTTGCCTTCCTGTCTGTAAATGGAAAATTCCAAACCAGATGCACAAAGGTCCCTTCTAATCATTATCATTCCTGCTACACTGTCTTGATTTTTGAGGGATTCTTGGATTAAGAGACTCCAATTCTTAGATTCTCCCTCTGATACATTTTTAAAAACAAATATTTGAAAAGATCCCACTTAAAGCAGTCTCTGTTTGCAAACAAGTAGATTCTAATGTTAATTCTTCTTTTAATAATGTATCTTGTTCTTCTCTGGAGACACAGCCCTCCTCAGAGGATGTGGATCTGGAACCTCCCTGGGCATAGATAGAACTGAGGCATTCCCTAGCAAGGCTGGGGCTCCCCTTAGCACTGGGGGTAACTGAAAAAAAAAATAAAAAGGGAGCTCTGGTGGCACGGTGCCTAAGGCATTTGACTGCTAACCAGAAGGCTGGCAGTTCAGACCCACCAGCCACTCCACAGAAGGAAGACTGGGCAATCTACTTCCGTAAAGATTTAGACTCTCAGGGCAGTCGTAGCCTAGTACAGGGAAGAGACAACTAAACAGAAAATTACCCTTAGTGTAGTAAACACAGACAGAGATGGAGGATATGCAAGGGCTGTGGGAGACAGAGAACCCAAAAATAAAAATAAACCTCATTGTTATCAAGTCAATTCTGACTCACAGCCACTCTGTAGGACAGAATAGAGCTGCCTTATAGGGTTTTCTAGGCTATAATCTTTACAGGAGCAGATCTTTTCTGCTATAGAGCCACTGGGTGGGATTGAGATGCTGTCTTTTCAGTTAGCAGTCGAGCACTTTACCACTGAGTCACTAGAGCTCCTTGGAAACATAAAGAAAACCCACTACTATCAAATTGACTGTGATTCATAGTGACCCTATAGGACAGAGTAGAGCTACCCCACAGGGTTTCCAAGGCTGTAAATCTTTACAGAAGCAGACTGTCTCATCTTTCTCCCATGGAGAGGCTGATGGGTTGGTTAGCAGTCTAGTGCTTTAACCACTATGCCACCTGAGCTCCTTTGGAACACGTAGAAGGGGCTGCTGATCCTGTTTAGAGAGGCCAAGAGGACGTCCTCGCAGAAGTGATGTTAGTGGTAAAATCAGAAGGATAAAGAATAAGCAATGAACCAGGAAAAGAGAGGACCATGATCCTGGAGGAAAGGAGGAGCAGCATGGCCAAAAGGCCTGGAAATCAGAGAGAGTGTGGCCCATTGGAGAAACTGAAAGAAGGATCATGTAAACTCAGAGTTGGAAAGTCTTTTAGATCTACAGTCACTTTTTTTAAAAAACAGGAAAACAGGCCCAGAGAGGGGAAATGACCTGGCTAACATCAGTTCTGCTCTCTACAATATTTGCTCACAAAGCTTTAGCTTTACCCTCCACGAAACATTTACATATCTAAACACTCTGTGTGTGTCTTCTGTGTCACAGAGGGAAGCATGACATGAAAGCTGGGTGGTGGTGGTTGTTGTTATGTACCGTCAAGTCGGACCGTCTCACAGTGACCCCTCCTTGGGTTTCCGAGGCAGTATCACTGTGGAAGTAGATTGCCCCATCTTTCTTCCGAGGAGTGGCTGGTGGGTTTGAACTGCCAGCCTTCTGGTTAGCAGTCAAGTGCCTTAGGTACTATGCTACCAGAGCTCCCTGCAAGCTGGGTACTACCTCCAAAGAGGTGTCACCCCCGGTTCTGGGACATCCAGTAGCTTCTAGCACACTGACTTCATTCAGGACAGGGAAGCAGCAGTTCCAAAAGATGTACCATTTCTGAGCACCTCTGCAGATGCCACGTGCTGTTGCCAAAGGGTACAGAACCTGCCTCTGCAAGAAGCAGCAACCCCCATGTGTCCTTAGCATTTTCCTCTATAAAAAGCACTCCTGCATCCCTGATTTCGCTTGGTATGCATAATTTACAAAGCACACAAATGGAAAGTAAAATTAACGCACCATTTCATATTTTTAAATGTAGTGATAGCAAGATAGAGGGGCAGTTCTTTTACTCCTTCCTTGCCAATTCCTCACTCAAAAAATAACCACTGTTAACAGTTTGGTACATACACACATCTAATTTTACATGCAATCGAATGTTATGTAATGCTGCAGTAAAGAGCAATTCCCAAATCTCAGTGTTTACAGCTACAAAGATGTATTTCTCATTCATACTGCATGTTCATTATACATCCAGTGCAACTCTGTTTTACTCCAGAACCTAGGCTGACAGTCCAGCCTGTCTAGAACATTTCTGGTCTCATGGCAGAGGAAAAAGAAACTAGACCAAACACATATTGGCTCTTAAAACTTCTGCCTGTAAGTGATACACATTACTTCTGCTTATATTTCATTGGCCAGAGTCATATGACCAAACCTGACATCAGAGTGACTAAGAAACATAATTCTTCTCTAAGGAGATGCACTATAGAGAGAGAGAAAGAAAATACTTGCTAAAAGAACTAACAAATCTGTCCTGGAGGAAGTGCAGCTAGAATGCTCCTTGGAAGCGAGAATGGCCAGGCTTCATCTCACCTACTTTGGTCATGTTGTCAGAAAAGACCATTTCCTGGAGAGGGATGTCATGCTTGGTAATATGGAGAGTTGATGTAAGAGGGGAAGGCCCTCAATGAGATGGATTGACACAGTGACTGCAGCAATGGGTTCAAGTGTAGCAGGGATCACAGAGCTGGAGCCAGACAGGGCTGTGTTTTGTTCTGCTGTGCATAGGGTCGCTGTGAGTCAGAGATGACTCAACAGCACCTATCAACAACAACAACAACACGGCAATCCATGCATTGCAGGGTAGAACTATACTGCATGGGGTTTTCAAGGCTATAACCTTTCAGAAGGAGATCACTTAGACTTTCTTCTGAGGTTCCTCTGGGGCTTCTGGGTAGGTTAGAAACACTAACCTTTTCAGCTAATAGTCAGGCCCTTAAGCATTTGTGCCACCCAAGGATTGCATAGACTGTATTACACCTTGCTTTTTTCATTTAAAATCTTTCATATTTCATAGGAGATATCTCTGTGTCAAGGAGCTCTGGTGGTATAGTGGTTAAGGCATTTGGCCACTATTCAAAAAGTCAGCAGTTTGAACCCACCAGCAGCTCTGCAGGAGAAAGATGAGGCAGTCTGCTTCCATAAAGGTTTGCAATCTTGGGAACCCTATGGTACAGTTCTACTCCATCCTATAGGGTGTCTGTGAATTAGAATTGACTCAATGGCAGTGGGTTTGGTTTTGGTTTATTTCTATGGCAATACATATATATTTACCTCAATTATTATTGTTATTATTTAGACTTATCTCATTTTTCAAATGGCCACATGGATTTTAATTTAAAGAATATTTCATAACTTTTAAAACCATTCTTCTGTTGTTGGACATTTAGGATTTACTTATAAAAACTGCTGCAATGAATATCCATTGTATAAACCTTTACTCAAGGAGCTCTGGTAGTGTAGTGCCTAAGGCACTTGACTGCTAACCAGAAGGCTGATGGTTCAAACCCACCAGCCACTCCTTGGAAAGAAGGTTGGGCAATCTACTTCCGTAGTGATATTGCCTAGGAAACCCAAGGAGGGGTCGCTATGAGTCGGGTCCAACTTGACAGCAAATAACAACAACAACAGCAAACCTTTACTCTGTGCATTTTTGCTTTCTATTTTCAGTAGATTCCAAGAAGTAGAATCATTTGGTCACAGAGGAAGTACCTTTTGTAAATAATAATAACAATTATTATTTTATCGCTGAGAATATACACAGCTAAACATACACTAATTCAGTCATTTCTACATGTACACTTCAGTGACATTGATTACATTCTTCGAGTTGGGCAACCATTCTCACCCTCTTTTTCTGGGTTGTTCTTCTTCCATTAACTCACTGCCCCCTAAGGTTCCTATCTAATCTTTGAGTTGCTGTTTTCACTTTGATCCCATATGGATAGTTCTTAAAAGAGCATAATGCTCAATTCAGACATTTGTTACTAGTTAAGCTAAACTGCTACTTGGTTTTAATAAGGCTTTAGGGAATATTTTTAGTTTCAGTTTTAAAGATTATCTCAGGAGAATAGTTTCAGGGGTTCATTCATTCCCATGGCTCCAGAAAGTCTGGAATCCATGAGAATTTGAAATTCTGTTCTGCATTTTCCCCCTTTTGATCAGAATTCTTCTTCTTCTTCTTCTTTTTTTTTTTTTAAACTTTAGTTGATTCTACTAAATCACCAACAAAAAATGTATAACATTTAGATCCCTGAGTTGGGTGTTGTTAACCCCATTCCAAACAGCAGAATATTGAAACTCAGAGAGGTATAGTGTCTGAGGAACAAAGGACTAGATGCCTATCTCAACACCTATTTTTCCCTTCCTCACTTAGAACCCTGATTCTACTGGTATAAATGTTGTTGTTGTTAGGTGCCATAGAGTCAGCTCTGACTTATAGCGATCCTATGTACAACAGAACAGAACACTGCCCTATGCCATAATCAGAACATTTGCTATGCTTGAGGCCATCGTCACAGCCAGTGTGTCAATCCGTCTCGTTGAGGGTACTAGAATAATTACCACCTTAGTCTCCTGTGGAGCTCTAGTGGTGTCATGGATAAGGTACTTGACTGTTAACTGGAAGGTCAACGGTTCAAATCCACCAGCTGCTCTGCGGAAGGAAGACTGGGTGATCTACTTCCATAAGATTTACAGCCTCAGAAACCCAATGGAGGTTGCTAGGAGTCGGAAACAATCTGATGGCAGTGAGTTTGGTTTTTTGGTTTTTAGCCTCCTCTACAGCTCTGGTGGCATAGTGCCTAAGGCACTTGACTGCTAACCACAAGGCTGGCGGTTCAAACCCACCAGCCACTCCTCGGAAGG